GGGGGGGGGGGTACCGGGGACTGAACTCGGGACCTTACAGAACCACTGAGCTAAAGCCCTGGCCCTAAGAAGACAATCTAAAAAAAACAAAAACAAAAACAAGGTTTATGCATTAAACCTAAAAAAAAAAAACACTGCAAAGCCTGGATGATGGGATGTCTGTTTTGATTAAAAGTGCAAAGAGAACTGAAGCATCTAAAAGCTGCAGGCAAGTCAATGATTAGCAACCCACCTCCTTCCCTTTCCAGCCCAGGATACTGCCACAAGGAAAGGAAAGTGCTTTACCCAAGTCCTGAGGGAGTGGCAGTCAGGTCTCTGGTCTCCATCTCCAGACCTGTAAAGCCAGCTGGGTTCTTCAGAGGATTCAGACCACCTGCTCTCACAGGAAGCCCAGGAAAGAAATGTGAAGCATGGGAACTGGGAAATGCTTTGCCCGGGAGAGTGAGGAGACAATGAGGACAATGAGGAACAAAAGCCTCCTCCAGAGAAGACTGGCCATTGAGGGCTGGTGTCCCACTTCAAACAATTGAGGCGGGCAGGCTGGGAACCTGCCAGGGCAGAACAAAGGACAGGAGCTGAATGGAAGACCCCGAGACCCCTCCTGCTTCCTGGACTCACTTGCTCATCTCTTTCCTTGGCTTGTCCAGTCAAAAGCAAAAAAAACTCAGGGGCCGGAGATTTAGCTCAGTGGTTCAGCCGCCTGCTGCGCAAGCGCAAGGACCCGAGTTCATCCCCCGTACAAAAAAAAGGAAAAAAACTCAGGGCTCTCTCAACTTCCAATTAGTTTTTCAAATGACATAATGGCTGCTGGTACTCATTGCTACTTGTGGTTTTCAAGGTGAGTGCAATTAAAGAGGGAAAAACCATCAGGGCAGCAACTCCAGTGCTTTGTCTCCATTAACTAAGGACACTAATGGCGTCCTAGAAGACTTAACCGCTCCCCACAGAGGTGCCAGGAGGGTCATACCTTGAGACTAAGAGCTATTTTTTTTTTTTTTCCTAAAGAAATGCTCTAATCACTAGGGGTCTTGTCACTTTTAACATGACCTATGTTTGAATTAACTTAAAGAGTTCACAAAGAGGCTTCCCTTCATGACTTCATTTATTCCCTACAATAACCCTCTGGGGGAAGGCAGGGCAGTGCAGGGCTCATTGGCTGGCTTCTCAGAGAGGTCAGATTGGGCCTGGGTCACATGACTGGTTGGCTGCAGAGCTGGAGGCTGATTGGGAGGCGGTGTTCTTTGTGGCTGTAAGGCTCCATGCCACTCAGGAAATGTGAGCTGGGAAGTCAAGTGACAAATGAATAGAAGAATGTGGACCCTGTACAAATTACTTACTGGACTCCTGCCAATACCCAGGAAATGGTATCAATACAGATGGTCCTTGACTTATGATGGAGTTACACCTGATAAACCCATTTTAAGTTGAAAGTATTATGTAAAAAATGCATTTAATCCTAACCTACCAAACATCATAGGTTCGCCCAGCCTACCTTAATCATGCCCAGAACACACACATAACCTACAGCTGGGCAAAACAATCTAACATAAGGCTTATTTTATAATAAAGTACTACCTTATATAATTTATTTAACACTATACAGTGTTTTTACAATGAAGTCTGTACTGACAAGGAAGCATGGGGGGGAGGGGTTGCTGGGGATTGAACCCAGGGACTCACGCATGCTAGGCAGGTGCTCTGCCTCTGAGCAACCTCAGCACTTTTGAGGCAAGTCCTTGCTAAATTGCCCAGGCTGGCCTTGAACTTGCAGTCTTCCTGCCTCAGCCCCACAAGTAGCTGAGATTAAAAGTACTCATGTGCCACCATGGCCAGCTCAAACTTTTTTTTTTTGCAATCCTAGGGATTGAACCTAGGATCTCTGTACCAGAATACCTCCCCAGCCCTTTTTTATATTTTTAAAGATAGTGTCTTGCTAAGTTACTAAGTTGCCCAGGTTGGGCTTAAACTTTTCTTCTTGCCTCAGCCTCCCATAATGCTGATTATAAGCATGTGGCACCTAACCACACCTGGCTTCAAAGGAACATTCTTGAAATGGATGTCCCTTTAACTCTTAGAGCCTAAGATAACCCATGTAGTCAATGCAGTGGTTCGAATCTGTAAGCCTCCAAAATTCACGTTAAAGGGATTGAAGAGAGGGGAAAGAAATGGGAAAACAAGAATCAAGATATATCATGTACAGGTAAAATTCTGTATGATGAATGGTATCATTATGTATATCTGAAATGTAACAATAAAATTTTTAAAAATTAAGAAAATTCATGTTAAAGCCAGGTAATCCCAACACTTAGGAGGCTGAGGCAGGAAGATCGCTGCAAGTTTGAAGCCAGCCTGAATTATAGAGAGAGACTGTCTCAAAAGAACCAAAAGAATCATGTTCAAATGAAATCCCCAATGTACAGCACTGGGCCTTTAGGAGGTGATTAGGTCCTGAGGGTTCCACTCTCATAAATGGATTAGTGCCATTAAAGGGTTGAGGGAATTACTAGCCAACTTTCTTCCTTTTCAGTCCATTATGTGAAGACAAAGTAGCCCTCACCAGACTCCAAGTCTACCTGCACCTTGGAGTTGGACTTTCTGGTATAGAATGGCCAGAAATAAATTTTTATCACTTACAAATTACCCAGTTTGTGGAATTTTGTCAGCAGCAGGAACTGACTGAGACAGTTGGCCTTCCCCTTGCCCATGGCATGTTGAGCTCAGAGGCCTTCAAAAGGCAAAAGACCTGAGCAGGCTCAGCTGCTCTGTGTGTGTGTGTGTGTGGTCCTTCAAAGACCATCAGGGCTGCTGTGCAGCAGTGGCTGGAGAAGCAGGAAGGAAGCTGGCTTTTTTTTTTTTTGGTACTGGGAATCGAACTCGGGTCCTTGCGCTTGCGCAGCAGGCGGCGAAACCACTGAGCTAAATCCCCGGCCCCCGGCTTTTAAAGGTAATTCTGAGTCCTGCTAAGAAAGGGGTGAGAAGGATCAATGTAAAAAGCCCTGGAGAAACACCCTGGCCATCTCGTCAACATCCAAGTTCTCACGTTATATAACCAAGGATCCCACCATCCTAAAAGTACTCAACCAGGCCTTTGTTCCTATTATTCTCTTTATTTCAAAAGCAGATTAATTACAGGTTTCAACTTTTCAATGCAACATCTGGGTAGTAGGACATTCACAGCATCTTGCTACGGCATCATGCCAAAGATACAGACAATCTGAGCCACGGGTATCTGCTCTGTGTAGGGGAAACTGAAAAACAAGCAAAAGTAACCACATTTCAAACTTTCTCTTTTTAAATAAAGTGACTTTTTTTCGTTTCTCTTTTCACACTGTGAACTGTTTTTGACTCCTCTTTTCAACATTCATTTAAGTTTTCAAATTTTCCATCCTTTTCCTGGAACTAATGTGCTGTTCTGAAAGAAAAAGGAGACAAACACAAAATTATTGAAGGTCTCAATTCATGGCTATAGTTCTTAACTGGTGATAACACAGAGAACAAGGTCCTCTCCTACTGTGAAGATCCCACTTTACAAGGGCATAATCATTTATCTATTGGTTCTATTCATTTATGCCCCATCTCATTTCGAAAAAGAATGTGGGACAGCTAGTCATAACTGAAGCTGATAATGACTTAAAAACAATGAAACAAACTCAAGTGATAGGTGAAAATACTAAGGAGATGAGGTAATTCCAGGCACACATCTCACAGTACAAGGCCAAAAGATTATGTAAACTTCAGCCAGAACAGAAAGGAGAATTTAAAGAATGCTCTCTTCAATTCCCCAGACTCTCTATCTGCTGACCAACATGTGGCCCTTACGGAGCTAGAAGATGAGATCCTGTACCATATTCCTGTCAGGGGTGTGTTCTTGCCAAGTCAGACTGAGCATCTAAACTTCACAGAATATTCTCAAAGAAGGGGCTAAACACACAGAAAACTTTTAAGAGGAGTTAAAAACCTCTATCTCCTTTCTTCTTGGCTGCTTTTCCCTAGACTCTGAGAAGTAGAGAAACATAAGAATCAAAATTGATGTCAACATCAATGATGGCAAACCTTTTAGAGCTTTCAAAGATAACAAACAGCTGGCTGTGGCATGCAGGCCATAGGTTCACCACCACTATCTAGACAGAGTCTGCAGTAAGGGGTTGGGGGGTGACAGCAGCAAGTAACTGATTCAGGCAGGTTCTGGCAAGCAGAGAGGTAGGTGCCCTCTGCCTGCCATCCTTAGCAGGCATCTAGACCCAGCAGTGAGGACTAAGGTGATAATCTGCAGTGTTATACAACGGAAGGCTCCAAAACAAGTCCTAAAGCAGTTCCTAGGGGTAGGCACAGGCATGCAGATAATCCCAAGGGCCAGGCTACACGCCCCTAACTCCTTGCCAAGCTTCCAAGGCTCCTAGGAGCATTAAAGTGTGTCTAGGAGCGTTCACGCAGAAAGGACGAGACAAGTATGACAGAAATACAGCTGAAAGGTAAGTGGCCCACGAGCCTGGGTCTTAGTCGAGAAGTTACACCCTGAACTATGCCTGCTCAAATCAAAGTTTGTACTCAGCTACCAAGGATAAATCTAAACACTGGGTCCCAACCTCAGAAAGTCCCAAATGTCCAAATGATCAAGTGACTTTCCTCTCCTTCAAGCAACATGATTTGGGAATAGTAGGATCAGCACGGACTATTTAAAAATCAAGGGGAAAAAAGTCTAGAGTAAAGAATTTAAAACTCTTTCATGCAACAGAAAGAACTAGTTCTGAAAGAAAATCTCACACAGAGCAGCTATTAATTTAGGAAAAAAAGCCAGCCGGAGGCTGAGGCAGGAGAATCACCAAGAGTTTGGGGCCAGCCTGGGCTGCATAGTGAGTCCAAGGCCAAGATGAACTAGATAGCTACTACTAATCTGTCTTACAAAATTAAAAAAAAAATTTAGGGGGCTGGGGATTTAGCTCAGTGGTTCCACCACCTGCTTCGCAAGCACAAGGTCCCGAGTTTGATCCCTGGTACCGAAAAAAAGAAAACTTTTAGGGAAAAACGAAATGGGTAAAGTCAAGTAATAGGGATGGGCAGAAGGGACTTGCTTAAGAAAGGCCCAGGGGAACTTCCTGAAGTATGGAAAAAGTCTCTGTCTTGAATGAGGTGGTGGTTACATGATATACCTTTTTTGAGATTCACAGAATTATACACTAAAAACAGTAAATTTTACTGTATGTAAATTATACCTCAGTTGATCCTGAAAAGAAACAAAACCAAAACCAATGTAATTTCTTCTGGTATTGAGGACTAGGTGACCCAGTTTATACTCGCACATCAATGAAAAGACTCTGTTTTTTGTTGATCTCTCCTACTTGCAGAGGATTAAAAACTAGATAGCTTTGTTGCTTTGGCGGAGAAAGCCACTTCCAAGGCAAGAGAAAAAAGGGAATATAATTTGGAAACTCAAATAGCTCCCTCCCCTTTGTTGGTCCAGGGTAGGGGTCAGCCAACTACTGTATGTCGCACAGGGCAAATTCAGTCCACTACCAATTTTGGTGAGTAAAGTTTCACTGGTATACCACCACACCCATTTGTTTACGTGATCTACGTCTGCTTTCACACGACAGTTTAGTTGTGACAGGCACCATCTGGCCTATAAATCCTAAAATACCACCAGTTTTTTTTAGAAACCTCTTTGTGAACCCTGGTCTAGAGGAACAGATCTGTGAAGAAGCAGACACTGTCCTTCCCTCCTGCATCTGGCCTCCACTTCCTCCTTGTCCTAGCACTAACCCCTAGAAGGAGGATGAGCCATGTTTCAGGCACATGGGGCACAAACCATCACCATTCTGTGAGCTCGAGGACCTGGCTTCACTGCTGGGTTTCATCTGTGGCCCTCAGTCCTTCCTAATTTAGAGTCTCACCAAAACACACAGTTTGGCCCCACTAGAGATTAGTGTTTTGCAAAGGCCCGGAAACAGTGACAAGTGTGCCAGGATTTGCCATGGGACCATCATTTCATACATTTATTTTGAAAGGGATCTATTTTAAGAAGTTCGAGGTTAAGACAAAAAAGAAAAACAAAAGAGAAGTCCAAGGTTGGACTTGTCTTATTGTCACTCTGCTCTCACATAAATAGAGATCGGCTATGAGTATAAATCAGAACCCCATAGGACACAAGGGAGGATGAACCCTTACACAGTCAGAGCCAGGCCAAAGTTGCTCTGCTGCTAAGTTACTGTCTCATCTGGGCTAGCTCAGGAAGCTTTTGTCCTGGTCCAGTCACAGCCACATCCAGCAAGTTGTAAAATGGCCTGAGATTCGATCTTTGGCATAGGGAGAAGGAGGGGGGATGAGTGGGCTGAGAACTTGACAGACAGAATCACTGACATGCATGAGGTGGCAAGATGGGAAAGGGACCCTGCTCCTGTGATGAGTCCACCCTTTATCTTTACCGTAGTGTCCTATATTTTGCCAATCTACTGCTCTGCTCTGCAGCGATCCTGCCAAAGGAAAGAGGGTTTGAGAATCAAGAAAGGACAGAGAGAAGAGAAATAAGCTGAGGACAGAAACAGCAAACACCCAACTAGAGCTTCCATTAGGGTCACTTATTTCCCCAGGGCAGTGCTGGTTCCAGGACTTGCGAAGATGTGACAGAAGAGTAGGCTTTACCCTTCTGAAGGGGGCCATGGGTGTATAGATCTGGGGGGTGTCACTGACCCTGTGGGGATTCTGATAAAAACCATGGTTGCTTTCCCCAGAAAATGCAATATGATTTAGGATTCCAGATTAGGAACAAATGCTAAGCTGGACCTAAACCAAATGGTTTCTACTCCACTCTCTTTTATTTCATGCATCTTACAGGCAACTTTTAAAAAAGAGAAGTTAGCAGAGCATACCCTCTCAGCTCTCTGGGAACTCAGACTGATTATTGCAAAGGAAGAGGATTCTGCTTTGGAAAAATAGCTGAATCTTTAGCTTTCTAGACACAGTGCATAGCTGCCAAGTAATGGCTGCCGAAGAAGACAGAAAAATGAACCAGCTGCCACTGCTGGTGCTAAGGGGAGCTCTAGTGGGACTCGGGTTACTACAGAAGGAGGATGTCTGCACCAGTCTGCACAGAGAGGTGTTCTGAAAATGTATCACAAAGGCTCAGGTGGAGGTGAGACCTTTGCCTCTCCCAACCATCAATGGTCTCCCTGAGAAAGCCTCTCTCGGATGTGACTGACCTAATTGGCAGCCATGTTGGAGGGGAGGCTACTGAGTGACATTCTGCCAGCAGAAGTCCTGGAGACAACACATGACACATTTGAAAATGATTTCTTCCAAAGGTAAAAGCAATTCTGAGCTTTTCGTCACTGAAATCACCCAGGTTCTAATACAGCCAAAACACCTAAACGCCTTTGTGACATTTAAATTTGCCTCTAATTCTGTTCTGAAAGTCAAGCTGCCAGCAAGCTGCCATTATGTCAAGGTCTGACCATTTGTCTAACTCTCATGCTGTTTGGTTCCTGGAACAGTGATATGGGCTCCTAAGCAGATGCTCCCTGCTGGGAGCCTTTGCAAAATCTGCAGCTTCTGTGGGAAGAACACAGAGTTCACACTGGGAGGAAAAGCCCCAGGGGCCATCAGGGGCTGGGGAGGAGGGCAGGGCAAGATCCTGTGTTGCAATAAAAAAGGACTTTTTTTTTTTTTGCAGTGCTAGGGATGAAACCTAGCACATGGTAGGCAAGTGCTCTACTACTGACCTACATCCTCAGCTTGAGAGGGGAATTTTTATATAGCCAGCCAAATTAGCAATCTTCCACCACATATTCTAACCCATTTTAATCTTCATAAAGAACTATTTTCCTCTCTAATTCTAAAGTATCGGGACATAAATTACTGTGGTTTTAATACATCTACAGGTGATCACTAAGGTCCTTTCCTGACCTAGAAGTTCCTATAGCTTCTGCATTAGGCTGGACTACAGCAGACTTGCCCCTTAGGGTCTGAGTCACATTGCCACATACCCTGGGCTAAGGGCTAGGCTGGCAGAGCTGACACAAACATCTCTAATCCCTAGCCTACCCCAGCCTCACCTCTTAACTGCCTGCTGGGCCAGCATCCGATTGCCAGCCAGAAATGTCACACTGCCCAGGATGGCCAGGTACTTCAGGGTCTGGAACATGTTGAGCTGAGTCCAGTAGACATACATGAGTCCCAGCATAGCTACAAGAAAAGGTGTCAGAGTAACAAATTAAATGACACAGTGACGATGCCCTAGGATGAAGGGGAATTAGAAACACCGACTGTTGGGTCATGAAAATGTTTGCATTTCTAGACCACCTTGTTTTATCCCTCTTATGTGATGCCAGATAGTAGGTAACTCAATTTATTTTGGCTATCAAACTTGACTACTAAGAAAAGTAGAGGTGAAAATCAGATTTTGGCTACTTTCTCTCAATCCATCTCACATATATTTCTCTGCTTTTTTTTCTCCTGCAGTACTGGGAATTGAAACCAGGCCTTCACACTAAGTTACACCTCCAGCTCTTTCTTTAGTTACAGGGTCTCACTAAGTCATCAAGTTGCCCAGGGTGGAATCAAATTTGCAATCTTCCCGCCTCAGCTTCCCACAGTGCTGGGATTACAGGGATGCACTACCAATTTCAAAGTCTTAATGAAAGTATGCAGAATATAAATAAATGAATAATTTTTTCATTAAAAACATGTTCATAAACAAAAACAAAAACATGTTCATGGGACTGGGGATTTAGCTCAGTGGTTTTGCCACCTGCAAGCGCAAGGACCTGAATTCAATCCCTGGTACCAAAACCAAAAACCAAAAAACATGTTCAGGAAGCCAGACCTGATGGCCATGTTAAAGATGATTCATTACTGGGACTAGGAAGGGATCAAGGAGGAACGAGGTAAAATGTTAAGTGAAAAGAGGCTAGAGCTGGGTACTGAGAGCCCTGGGCTCTGGTGCGGGCTCTGCCCTTACCAACCACTTCATTTCTCTGAGCCCAAATTCTCTCACACGTCAAACAGGATTATAAACGCTGCCGAGTCTCTCCTATTGGGGTTGGGATGAGAATCAAATAAAGAAACATACACAAAAAGAAAACTGACCCCCAAAAATCCATGGCTCTGAACAAATTTATATTCAGATTTTGTTCTCAGTCTGACCCCAGAAAGCTATCTTTCAAATCTAGTAACTGAGCTGAAGAAAAAAGTCATCCTGTCAAATCTGCCCAGAAGGATGCCAGATGAACTCCAGCAGGGGTTCTGTGAGAATCTGACCAAAGTTATGGACTCTAGGGCCGGGGATTTAGCTCAGTGGTTCCACTGCCTACCTCGCAAGCGTAAGGTCCTGAGCTTGATCCCCGGTACCAAAAAAAAAAAAGTTATGGACTGTCTCTTTCCCCAGAAAAATGCAGACACACATTTGCCTGGAATTTCATGGGAGTCATCTCCAGAAGCTATACACTATGGATGTGAAGATGATGACCCTAGAAAGAGGCAAAAGAATTTAACAATATTGAAGTTTCAGTGAGATGTAAGGCCGATTTGCTGATTTACTGATTCAAGAATATCAGAATCTTGGAAATGCCTAACTTGTTTGTGAAGTTACTGTCATGTTATTTGAGGCTGTTTGGTCCCTATGTTCTCACAGAACGAGGTAGGACAGTGTGTCTGACCATGGAAGTGACTGTTTTTCTATTACTGCCCAGACAGAGCCGCCAGCACCCATGAAGATCGATGTGGTGGGGAAAGACAACCTTTGGAAACTGCATTAATGCTCTTCATCCAGGAAAATGGCTCAGTGTAAAGACACGGTAAGTGAGTAATCTCTGGAAATGGACGGGGCTATTAAATGAGGGTAAATGGCCTGCCAACAGCCTCCTAGTACAATGAAGCCCAATATAATGACAGCTGTTCTAAGTTTATGGGCCAAACAGGTTTATCATCCTATTAACTGTACTAAAAGGCCAGGAGGAAGAGGGCAATGTTCTGCTATTAAGTCATTATAGTCAATAGGTTGAGGGTCTATTTAACAGGGCTTTTGTGGGGGCAGACAAAATGTCAGAGGAGGTTAAATAGAATTAGCAGCCTGGGCACTTACCAGCATGTCCCAGGTGAAAGATAATCGTGCTAGGAGCAAAAGTGAAGTTGGAGACATTGGCTCCAATCCGGATCCACTGAATGATGGGGAGAAATACATTAAAAAGACATCAGAACTTAAAGAGAGGCAATATGTGCCATACCAATACTAATCCCAGGAACAGCACTCAGCACTTGAAAGTTCACACATACTGGAAAGACAGGAATTTTTCCAAGTGACAACCACCCTATTATAAGATGTAAGGAAAATTTGCCCTTTTTTCCTTACAAAGGCATTTCGGCACCTGCTCTCAAATGTGCTTGGTTAACTCAAACCTCAACATCATTTTTAATGACTGAGAACATTTCTATTTTAAAGCAGGTAAAACCATGAGGCTGAAAGGTCAGAAATTGCATTTATGATGAATTAATTGGCTCTTCCATTAAGTTCTGTGAGAATTGTTACGATAACCACATTTTTGAAATTCTGGTCACTCAAATAGGAAAAAAAGGTGCTCATATCCTGAATATGGTTCCTGAAAGCTTATAGAATGCTTTTTAGACCTAGATTAACCAGTAATTATTTCATTACATTCAACAAATTAATTGGGAACAATTCTCCAAAAGTGAGCTATATTGAGGTTTTTTTCTCACAATTCTCTGAACTTTAGGGCTGGGGATTTAGTTCAGTGGTGCCTGCCTCACAAGCTCAAGGTCCCGAGTTCGATCCCCAGTACCAAAAAAAAAATTCTCTGAACTTTGAGGATATGCACTATTTATAACTTTTAAAGAGAAACAAAGAGGGCTGGGGATTTAGCTCAGTGGTTTCACCACCTGCTGCGCAAGTGCAAGGACCCGAGTTTGATCCCCGGTACCAAAAAAAAGAGAGAGAAACAAAAAACCAATTAATTGGTTAAAAAATATGTGAACAGGGCTGGGGATTTAGCTCAGTGGTTCTGCTGCCCACCTCACAAGCACAAGGTCCTGAGTTCAATCCCCGTACCAAAAAAAAAAAAATCTGAACACTATAATGAATATACGAGCTAAACAATTCTTCTATACTCTCCAAAATGTCCCCTCCTTAGAGGGGTCCAACACTGATAACGTATTTTTAAACATTCTTCCACAGAGAGGATCACACTCGACAATGACCCTACTCTTAGACCGGGGATTTAGCTCAGTGGTGCCAACGCCTGCCTCGCAAGTGCAAGGTCCTGAGTTCGATCACTGGTACCAAAAAGAAGATCCCAACAATTACCCTACTCCTCACCTTGCTCACTTGGGCCACCTACCAGCAAAGAGACCTAACCTTTCTGTTAATAAGCTGCATACTGTCATATCATATGCGTGTACTAATGAACACTTGCTTTTATGAGGACTTTCAGTTGTTTCCAGTTTTCTGCTCCCAACATAGCTGGAATGTGCAGCATCTGCTCTCCATTCTTCATTGCCAGTGGCATGGCCCTTGCCTTTTCACACTTCATCTCATTTGAACACTCCCATGGAGAGTCAGAGCCATACACTTTTGTCACTTTTGTTATTAGGAACTTTCTCACGTCCCCTTGTTAATGGATCAGTTTATCTGGCCACTCCTCCATAGTGGGGAATTTCGGTTATTCTAAAATTTTTTGACCATCAGCTCAGGTCACAGCTGCTAGGCCCCTCTGGAGCTGTGCTGAGGCCAGAGCACAAAGCCTCCTTTGCAATGGCTACATCTGCCGAGTCTGTCATCAGATACCCGCTGCCCATGTTAATTATGGTGACTCACCAGAGCAAAAAGCAAAAGCAAAGGCGAGAGTATCAGGGCCGTGAATGTGTTAGACACCACTGTGAGGGGCCTCTTCTCAGGCTCTCGGAACAGGTGCTGCCAAGAGAAGACACACCGGGAAGACTTGAGAACATGACCTTCCAGTAGGGGCAGCCATGTTTCTCTAAAAGGTCAATGACAAACATGAAGAGGAAATGCCCCCAGAGGCTAAAGCCTTTTGGCAGTAAGTGACCACTTGGCCTTTCATCTCTTCTTAATACTGGCTTCTGATCTCAGAGGTCTCACTTCCCAAGATGCTACACTGGTCCCAGCTCATTGCTTGGCCAACTCTTTTTCTACCTCAAAGACTTGTTGCCATTTAAGCTTAGAGAATGCAACCCAAGTAATATCTGGCTGGTGTCAAGGAAGGTGGCCAGGTCTATGGACCCATGGCAGGGCTATGGATTTCATCATGCGTTAGGTTCCAAGGTCATATGCTGTCCCCCTACTTCATTTAGCTGGCTGGCAGTAACAACTTCTCCTTTTAAATTTAACAGCACCTTACTACAGATGGTTCCAACCCTAACTCACCCCTGTCTCCCCCAGCCACAGCTCTGAGGAAGAGCTGAACAAACTTTTTCCTCCTTTATTCCACCTGATTTCCAGAGTTAAACCAGAGGTCTGGGTAAGCCTTCTTCTGATATTTGATTTTTCTCCTGAGCAACTCAACATAAATTCTCTTTGGGAAGCTCACCTAGTCAGTATGACCTAGAAGAGGCAGCAACAGACTGGGAATCCACAGACCTCTGTTTAGATCCAAACTGACATATGTGGCTATGAGGCCACTCTTTGCCTCAGTTTCCAGCTGGACAACTGGGCATGTGGAGGGTAATGACCAGCCTACTAGGCATGTAAAGATATTGTGAGGACAAAATGGAACAGGGTACTGAACGGTGCTTTATGAGCTATAACACACATGTAAATTGAACCTTTTTGTTTTTAAGGGGTTTTTTTCCTCCAATGTACAAACTATGGCCACCTTTTCTGTTCGCCAATACCTGGCCAACCCAACTCTGTGATGAGGCAGGCCTACTTGAGGCTCTTGTTGCTAAATTTTCACCTGACCTCCTCTTTGCCGCCATCATTAAGCTGTTTCTAAATGGTCTGTAGCAGTTGCTGCACCTATTTACTCCACTCTCCAGATCAGCCAGCACCCTTCCTCACCAGAGCTGTTCCTTCTTCTACCTAGCTGCACTACATATTCTTTTTTATTTTGTGAGACAGGGTCTCACTATGTAGTTCAGGCTGGCTTTCAACTCACTCTGTAACCCAGGCTGGCCTCAAACTTGTGGCAATGCTCCTGCCTCGGCCTACTGAGAGCTGGGATTACAGACGTGTACCTCCATGCGTGGCTCTGCTATTGACCAGTGCTGCATCAATATGGAGAGGTGTTTCAAGAATCCTACTACTCTACCCTCTGAGCCCTTGGATTTGTTTTAACACGTTTCCACTGGCTTGAAAGTTCAGAGAGCCTGGCAGTAAGACATATGAATATGACCCCAGGGTGAACATGTTGAACAGTGAAGTGAGAATAAGTACTCTGCTTTTAACACTTCACACAAAGTTATATGTAGATTTCCATGTTTCTACAGTTCAACCATGCCTCATGACTGCAAAACAGTCTACTGAATGGATCTACTTCAGTTTCCTTAGCCAGTACCCAAACTGTTTAACGTTTATTTTGTAAAGGTTCCTAGAAACATTCCCAAGCCTTTTCTTCCTTCATCTTCTTTTCTTGGTTTTGTTTTTCTTTTTTGAGACAAGATACAAGGTCTTGCTATGTACCCCAGGCAAACTTGTGATCCTTCTGCCTCTGCCTCTCAGGAGCTGTGATGACCGGTGTGCACCATCACACCCGACCAAGCCTTTATTTCCTTATTCATTATCCATTTTGGTCCTCACAGTACTCCTCTGAGCTGTGGAGGGCAGGGCTTGCTGATTTTTGTGTTGTAAGGAAAGGAGCCTTGATAGAGATGAAGAACTTGCCCAAGGGAGTAAAGCTTTGTCCCCAAGGTGAGTTGGCTGATTTATGAAGGAGGAAAGAGGACAAAAACTAAAGCCTACAGCTGCTGAGCAGGGATCTGAGATCTGAGCCCCTGCACATCAGGAAAAGAGGACTCTGATTTTATCTCCAGTTCAGTTCCCTGGGAGTCTGCACTGGCTCTCCAAACCTGTGTGTCCAGCTCCTGGACAGGACTGCTATTTGCCTTGCTAATTCACAGAGTGGTAAGGCTCACACAGTAAAATACCATATAAATAGGTTAAAGCAAGGACCAAAGCTATACCCCAAGGGGTTGTGCTTCTCTCACTGCACCCAGTGGATAATGCCTTTGGATATACCTGAATTTCCTGTTTCGGGGTGAAAAGGTTCTGGGACAGGACAGTGGAGGGAGCTTCTTCTTCTGGGAACTTGATGACCACATCAGCCTAAAAAATAAGAATAGCCTTTAGTGGTGCAGGGGGAGGAGGGTGGTGAGACTCCTTGGCAGAACCACTCTCTCTAAATCACAACCACGACCACAACTGAAAAATGCTCCAGGCCGCCCAATCACTTGTGATCCATTAGTTGACAAATTGAGGTAGTACAGATTTCAAGAACAAAGTAAGTATTTGTTGAAAATGTTTTTAGAGCAAGAGTTCCAATTTTCTACTAGAAAAAGCCCCATAGAGCTGCTTAACAGAAAAGTCCCAGCTGGTACACTGGCTGTTTCAGCTGTAATCAGAAACTGCTCGGTGTGATTTAGTCACATAAGAAAAGAGAAAAATGAAAATGCACTCTCGTACAAAAGTAGCCCAAAGTCCAGGAGAAGAAAGGGAGCCATGAACACAAGGAAATGCAGCTGTCCTGCTGTCCTGAAAAGGGACTGACCCTCTCAAGACTGGAATCTGGCTTCTGCCACCTTTCCAGCCACATCCTCTGCTGCTCTCCACAGGGTTCAGGGGTTCCGAAAGACAGAACAACTCACATCTCCCCAGAAGCATGATGAGCTTCTTGGCACTGCTCCCCAACAATCATCCCACAATCCGAAGTTAACAGCCTGACAAAGCCTCTGGCTTTCTTCAACCCCTTGCTAAAAGCCAGGTCTTCCAAGAAGTTTTCTGTCATCACACTAATCCTAGGTGAAGAACACTATAACACGCTACACAAGTGGCGGTCAGTTTAATGGCAATTTGCAATTCTACAACTCACTATCATACACCATCCTGAACTGTTATGAAAATTCAAATCTTATTCCTTCCATGAGGCTATACTATAGCTTAACAGCCAGAGAATTTTACAGCTAATCATTCTCTAGTCTTACTGTAACACGAAATCTTCCTTCTAGTATAACATTTATAGGAATTCACAAATTACTAAAACTCATGAGGGCAAATTTACATTTCATTTATTCAGTCAATATTTATTAAGCACTTACCATGAGCCAAGCTACCTGCATGAGCCTAGAACTATGTACAGAGCAGGATACAGTGCCCCACCTCATGATGCTTCTTTGTTGTCTATGAGAGGCACAGGCAAGGCTAGGGGAAGAACCCTGGGCTCGTAAACGAGCTGTGTATGACAATGGCACAGCTATCCTCACCTGGGTCAGGTGCATCCAGACACATACCACATTCCAGAGGATTGGGTTCTTCAAAGTGGCATCTCCGATGATTAAGTACAGAGTGTAGGTGCCTGAGGCTGAATCAAATTCGATTTTTCTTTCAGAGGTGTCTAGTTCAAATTTGTACACATTCTTGTTGTCTGGCTCAGCAACAAATACCACTTCTTGGCCAGTCTTCTGATTATGGAGTCGGACAAATGTCTAGATGGAACAGTTAATACAAACTTTCATTTGATCACATCAAAACTCTGTGTGGGGTGCTGCATGTGCTGTGCACACCTGTAATCCCAGCATTCTGGGAGGCTGAAGCAGGAGGAGTACAAGTGTGAGAACAGCCTGGGCAACTTAGCAACAACTTAGCAAGACCGTCTCAAAAATCAAAAAAAGGCCTGCAAATATAGTTCAGTTTGAAGTCCCTGAGTTCAATCCCCAGCACCTCAAAACAACAGCAGCAGCAGCAACAGCAGCAAAAGCAAGAGCAACATTAACAACCTCCCAGACTCACTCAGAGAGTGGAAGCAATGGCCATCTTTCCCTAGTTTCTAGCTCAGAGACAACTCTGTGCTGGTACAAGGAAAGAAATTTAACTTAGGGGACCAGTCAGTTCTTGACAACTGGGGGACTAAATGCCCACTACCCAGTTTGTGGATGATTTAAGCCCTTTGCTACTGCTGCAATTTCTTCCTCCTGCCAGCCTTTTGGCCACTTTGCTGCCCAATTAACTTCTTCACTAGAGGGTGAAAAGAAGGGAAATGAGGTGGAACTGTAAAAAGGCCCATTTTCAATTTCCTAGTGCCGCCAGCTAAAGATTTAGTGGAAGAGGCTCGGGTGTCCATAGCAAGGCAGAGTTCTAATTGAGCAGAGCAGCCTGATGTCACAGAGATAGCCCCAGCTCCGAAGACAGACAGAACAGGCTCCACTACTTATTAGCTGAGCAGGTTACTTAACCTCCTTGAACCCCGGTTTCTTTATCTTTAAAGCAGGTAGATTAACTTCTGCATGTGGTGTATCTGTGTAAGATCTGCAATAACTAATGCAAAGCATGTAGCTCAGGTCCCAGTATATACTAGCTAGTAATCAAACAGTTGCTAGTAATATTCTCAGTATAATGATACTAAGTCTCATCACTTAAACCCCCACCCCAATGGCATAAGAAACTAAGGTTTCTCTCCTTTACAACTGCCATAGTACCTCATTAGTTCACGAACTCAATTCTCTCCACGATTCTGATTGAAAACCAAACTAGATAAGAACCAAATCAAATTTCCCCATAAGGTCAACATTAAACCTAACCATTAAATTTGATTCAGTTCTCATTCAACAGGATTTGCAACCAGAATCATAGAAAACATCAAGTTCGTGAATGGAGGCACCACTGTATAGCAACATTTAATGTTCACTCAGAGCTTTTCTTTGAAGTGCTTGAAAATAAAGAATTCAACAAGGCAGAAAAGTTGGTTCCAATTAGATTATAAAGCATGAACATTAAATGAGTTGCCATGGTCATTCAGATAGTCCTTGATCTACAGGAAAAAGATGAAATCTCATTTTTTAATCTATACCTGGGCAACAAAGAATAACCACTAATTAGGGAAAGAAGCCCAGAGATGTAAACCATCCAGAGTACAGTGAGTAGTCTTAGTCAGGAATAGGACTTACAAGTCTAGATGCTTGATCTTTTTAGTTAAGTGCAGGTGGCTGCCAAGCTTGTCTACAAAATGCCATCTTTATCTGGGAGGTCTCTGAGACATGGATTCCAAAACAGAATCTGGGAGGAAACAAGTGTTCAGTTAAAGTTATGTTTCCTCGCCTACTCTCCTGCCCTAACCCTAATCCTACCGTTTCAATCTTAAAATGTCTTCTCTTTATATTCTTCCTCCCTTGTGTTATTTGGTTAGCAAGTGTCATTCTGGAAGAGAACTGAGAAATGATAAGAAGTGCTTAAAGGTCAGCCAGCCGTGGCTAAGTGCCCTGATCAAGTTGCCCAGAAATGAGGTGGAACTATAAAAGGCCTGGAGTTTGAGGGTGGAGGGGAAAGGAGATGCCTAGCCTGTGGCCCTGGGGCCAGGAGCTCAAGAGCACAAGTGCAGCAGCTGCACCTGAGGAACAGAAACAAGAAGGTCTGCACACAATTCCATTCATGGCAGTGGTCCGCTCTCTGATGCTGCCCCTCAGCCTAGATGAAACCCTGCTGGTTCTAGCTAAACCAAGAGCCCTAAACCAAGCCATGAGCTCCTCCATTCTTTCTTAACTATAAACAGTCAAAGTCCTTATCTACAGTTTCCATTATATAACATTTAAACATACAAGTGGCAGGACCAAGAGTAGTTTTTCTCAAATGCAGACAACAGAGGGCTGGGGATTTAGCTCAGTGGCATCACACCAGTCTCAAAAGCACAAGGTCCTGAGTTTGATCCTCGGTACCAAAAAAAAAAAAAAAAAATGAGGACAACAGAGGCAGGAGGTAGGAGAGATGTTTGAAGACAATGTGCCATCTTAGGTCCCTTGAGAAAAGGCTACACAGTTTGAAAACCTTTAAATGACAATTTCCATTTTATACATTAAAAAAAAAGTCTACTCTTTTTACTATACAAAGTACACACAAGTTTAAAAGGCCTATTCTTTTTTGTTTGTTTTGTTTTTGTTTTGGTACCAGGGATCGAACTAGGGACCTCGCGCTTGCAAGGCAGGCGGTGGAACCACTGAGCTAAATCCCCGGCCTATAAAGGAGCTATTCTTCAGAACTCCATCATAAAAAAAAAAAAATCTGCTGGCCACTACAAAAAAATGCTTTGGAGAGCTGGGCATGGTGGTGCACACCTGTGATCCCCAGCAGCTGGGAAGCCAAGACAGAAGGATTGCTGCAGGTTCGAGGCCAGCCTGAACTACATAAGCAAGACCCTGTCCCAAAAACCAAGCAAACAAATAAATAAGCAAACAAAAAAGATTTTGGTCCTCTGCTTAGGTTTTCTTTTTTTTTGAAATTATAATCTTTCAGGGCCGGGGATTTAGCTCAGTGGTTCCAGCACTGCAAGCGCAAGGTCCCAAGTTCCATCCCTGGTAAGAAAAAAAAAAGAAAAGAAATTATAATCTTTCCCCTTTTCCTTTATATCAAAAATTGAAAACACTTCAAGTAAGTACTAATCTGTCCTAAATACATCTTCTCAATACCAACTAATCTTTTAAAAAGCTGGGGATTTAGCTCAGTGGTGCCACGCCTGCAAGTGCAAGGTCCTGAGTTCAATCCCCAGTACCAGAAAAAAGTTACACCCAGTATAAGAGAAGTAGCGCATCATATGGGACTGTCAGGGATTAATCAAGAAATGAAAGCAGGAAGGCGTCATTTTCTCTAGTCCATGTTATACACCACATCATTACTCTAGTGTGCATTCATGTTTCCAGCCAAGAGAACTATTTGGCTTCTTCCTGACCTGGTGAGGGGTAAGTTCAGCACCAGTGTTCACATCCACAAGCTGGAAGAACAAGGCGAAGTTCTGGTGGCTGTCCGCGATGAATGTGCCCTTGGCTTTGGCCGGGTAGGTTACCCTGAAAGAGACATTATACAGAGAGTCTTCAGACAGGATCTGTGTATCTCTGAGAACAGCCAAGGAATACATCTTTAATTTGACTGCCTAATCCACTATCTCCCTTCTATGACTTCTGTGGTGGACAGACAGATGAAGAGAAAGGTCCGTGGCCTGGGGTCAAAGTGGATTGATAAAACCAGGAGCGAGAAGGGTTTTGTTGTTATTTTGTTTTGCTTCTTTGACCTGCTGGGAAATGAACCTAGGACCTTGAGCACACTAGGCAAGTGATGTACCATGGAGCTCCACCCCCAATCCCCTAAACCAAGACAGAAAAGCACAGATTAAACTTTTACCAGGGTCTGAGGAAATGCTCTGTGCAGATCCCTGTACCTCTGGGCTTTCATTTCAAGGACCTAAGGTGTCAACTCAACCAAGGCAGGTGCCAGTAGAGCTCACATGTACCTCTGCAGGCACAGAGGCGGGCTGAGAGCTGGGCTGGCAGAGCTGTAGAAGAAATGGTCATGGGATTGATTTGGGCAGCATGATGTGCATAAGGCTAGGAGATGGGAGGAGGAAGGAATGTAAAGCCAAAAAAAAAAAAA